GTTCCCCTTCCAACCCTCATACTTCCTTTTCCTTTTCTTTTCCCACAGTCCAGTGTCAAAAAACCACTCACATACCCATCTGCTCTTTGCACATCCCGTGTGCAATTTGTTTAGGATCAGGCTGGAAAACTGATGGAAATTCCTCTAAATTTGATGGGTTGAATTCTTGGGTCAGGTTGGAAAAGTGATAGGTTGAATTCTTCTTGATTTGATGGATTGAATTATTGGATCAGGTTTGAAAATGAATGGGTTGAATTCTTCTTGATTTATCTGTGCACCAGCAGGAGGTGCATCAGATGATGCAGAGTGGCTGTAGGACTGTTTTAGGCTCTGGATGGTGTCTGAGGGGTGTTTCAGGCTCTGGGTGGTGGCTCTTGGTGGCTGTAGGAGTATTTCCAGATGGTGTCTTTCAAAGGATTTCTGATTAGGAAAATCCACAGCTGGTGTTTGCATGATGCACAGCTCCAGAGTCGGGTGTGTGGCAGTGGCAGGGCTGAACTGAGAGGGGGCAGGAGCAGGTGCAGCACCTGCATTGCTGCCTCTGCCCAGGCTTTGGTCCATGAGCAGTTTGGGACGTGGATCCAAGAGCAAACACTGGGTGTGAGTGAGTGACTCCCAGCTCATCCCTGGGCTCATCCCTGGGCTCATCCCTGGGCTCCAGGGGAGCAGGGAGCTGCCTCCTGGGCTGTGTGCTCCTCTGCCACACCCTCAAACATCTTAGGGCTCTTAATCATCCCTATAAAACCATTTCCTCTGCAAAAAAAAAAAAAATAGCATCTATTTGGTGAAATGTCTCAGCAAAGGAAATATCTGGTTCTTTGACGAATTATCTTAAATATCAAGTTCATAATTGAGCATAATGCAAGTGTCAAAGTAGTCATGAGTTGTTACTGCTCTCATAAAATTTATCTTTCTGGATTACTTACAGATGCATCTTGGAATTTTTCAATAATAGCTTGTAAAGGCCTTTTTTAAGCTTCCAAACAGCAATTATCCTGCAGGAATGAAGCAGCAGTAGCTTCTGCTAAAAAAATTATACAATCTGGTTTTGTTCAGGATATTTGACCATCTACAGTAGGAGTTTGGCAAACTAAATACAAGCTACCAAGGTCTGTAAGTTTTTTACTATCTTAATATATATTTTTTTTCTATATACATCACTTCTGAAACTGCCTGGGAGGTTATTTTGGCTCTGGAAATACAATCAAATGGGAATAATCAGTGAGAGTGAGATGTTAAAGCCTGGCAGTGCTGCAGGGCAGGGATTTGTCTCCACGTTAGTCACTAGTCCCAGTCTGGGAGTTTTATAACCCAGCCTGTTCTCACACGTGTCCATGGGCCACAGGCCCTTCACCTCCCAGCAATGCTTCTTCCCTCTGATTTCCCACCCTTTCTCAGTGACTAATACTGGAAAGTGAAAGAACTTTTTGATTTCACGAGAAGCTCTCTGGGTTTAGGGCTGTTTTCTCCAGAGTGTGTTAACAACAGGAAAACCAGCGTGTGGGCACCAAAATACACTCATTTAATGGTGTTTTATTGTCTGGCCTGGTGCTGGGCAGTGTGTGTCTGCAGAGCTCCTGCCTGCCCTGTCCCTGCAGAGCTCCCACGAGCTGTGTGTTGGATGCTGTCGCCCTGGGAGGTGGCACTGTGCTGTCCCTTCGTGCTGCCCTGGCCCAGAGCTGTGTGTGAGGCAGCCACAGCCAGCCTGGGCATGGGGATGGTGCAAATACACTGAGAGAGAGGCTGGGGGCAGGGGGAAATCAAGTCCAGCACTTGGCAGTTGTGTGGAAGAGGGTTCAGAAGAGCTTTTCCAAGGTGTTCCCAGCCCATCTCTCCTGGGACAGAGGTGCTGCAGTCCTGGGCTCGGTGCCATGTGTGTGGTGTGGGGAATAGCAAGAACCTCTGTAAAATCCTGCACCCTTTCCCAAGGGGGAGGTTGGTTCATAACTGACTCACCTGTGTGTCAGGCTTAATCTTCAAATGCATCCTTCTGCTTTAAGCCCTGCCTGCTATCAGAGCTGTTTTGGAAAGAGTGGAATATCAACATCCCTGGGCAGGGGCGACCTTTGCCAAGGCACGAGCTCAAGGGGCTGCCAGCAGAGCAGGGTGACCCTTGGGGCACTGGAGGAGCCTCATTCCTGGACCTCTTATACAGCAGCCCTTTCAACAAACTTGGAAACTTTCTGTGGTCCAGAAAAATCTCCCTCTGAAAGATTTGAGGCAGTATGGGAAAAGCATTTCTTGGAACAGGAAGGGATGTTTCAGACTTGGGGCTTGGCTAAAGCCCCGCTGGTGTAGAGTTGTGTTAGTGGATTATCAGAGGCAATGGGTAAAAGGTTTGTCCTGGATACCATGGCTGTAAGGTGGCAGTGTCTCTGTGTTTTATGGCTGCTGTTGATCTGTGTGAAACTTCCCTCTTGCTGTGTGCACACTTTGCAATTAATGGCAGAAGCATATTGTGTTTCCTTGTCTGCCCTTTTGCCTTGCTTTAAGAGCAGTCTCTGGTGATAACAACCTCTGTTGTGGACCCACACTGGAAGAGCAAATGTGCAGGCAGAGGATCTCCCTGCAGCTGCTGTGCTGTGCCCTAGGAGTTGGAGTGGTTTAGGCTGGAAGGACCTTAAAACTCATCCCATTCCACCCTGCCATGGGCAGGGACACCTCCCGCTGTGCCAGGGGGCTCCAGGCCTGATCCTTTGCTGTGTTTGGTGTTACCTGTGTGTGTGGGTGAGCCAGGGCATGGAACCTGGGTGTGATCCCAAGGAAGGGCCGTGTGTCTCCAAGCCTGTGAGCCCTCAGCAGAGGCTCTGAAGTTGGAGGGAGAACTTCCTTGGGGAAGGCTGACTCTGTGCTGGGGCTGCAGGGCAGCACTGCTGCCAGGGGAGCCTGTGGGTGTTTTCCTTCCCTCTTTCCACTCATTTAATTTTCTTGATGCAAACACTGTTCCTAGAGGAAAACTCGCTTGCTGACTGCAGCTGGTTTTGCTGCTGAATCATCCCCTGCTCGCCAGATGTGCCTGATGGGTTTTCTCCTGCAAACAATCATCTCTGCTTGGTCTCCTGTTACGTAGCCAGGTGTCCTGGGATTGGGAGAGGGAAGATGCTCTTTGGAAGGGTCAGTCCCTGCCCAAACCCCAGTTTTGAGGTGCTCCATTGGATTTGTGCTTGCCCACTGGAGCTGCTGGAGCTGATCCAAGGTGTGCCCAGCAGGACAGCTCAGGAACGGCCGTGTCTGGGTGACCTCCAGGGAAGGGATCTGTTTGTGTGCCCTGCTGGTGGCCTGCCCTGTGGCACACAGCCTTGCTGGGTGCTTTTGGTAGGGGTGGCCATTGGGGCACCCTGGGTGGGCAGCGCCCGAGCCTGGCTCTGACCCTCTGAGAGCATCACAGGCGGCTTCCAGCCTCGTCCTGCAGCTCCTGGGGCACATCCCCATGGCAGGGACCCTGTGGGGAGCACAGAGCACCCCAGGCTCCCTGCAGGTGCCAGGGGCTGGGATGCCCGGAGCAGAGCCCTGCCACAGCCTGTCCCCTGCAGCCTGTCCCCTGCAGCCTGTCCCCTGCAGCCTGTCCCCCTGCTCCCCTGCAGCCTGTCCCCCTGCTCCCCTGCAGCCTGTCCCCTGCCCCTTGCCATCCTCCCAGCCTCTGGAAGCTCGCCCTGCCCGCTGGCTATTTCGGGAGGCAGCATGTGATGCAGGCTGCTCCCTTTGCAGGGGCTCCCAGCCCTGTCCCAGCAGCTTCAGCAGCCTCTTGTCCTGTTCATGGACACACAGACACACCCAGGGTGCTGCTGGAGCGCTGGCATCTGTGTGTGCAATTGCAATCAATGGCAAATTAATGGCAACTGCAATTAATTAATATTGTGTTTCCTTGTCTGCCCTTTTGCCTTGCTTTAAGAGCAGTCTCTGGTGATAACAACCTCTGTTGTGGACCCACACTGGAAGAGCAAATGTGCAGGCAGAGGATCTCCCTGCAGCTGCTGTGCTGTGCCCTAGGAGTTGGAGTGGTTTAGGCTGGAAGGACCTTAAAACTCATCCCATTCCACCCTGCCATGGGCAGGGACACCTCCTGCTATGCCAGGGGGCTCCAGGCCTGATCCTTTGCTGTGTTTGGTGTCACCTGTGTGTGGGGGTGTGTTCCTGGTGGCACTCTGAGCACTGGAGGATTATTTTAAACCTCTTTACTCTGTTGAGCTGGAGAAATACAACCTGTCTGAGGGCTGATCTTCTTACAGCTGCTGTTGGTATTATCCTGGGCTTTTAAAGTGCCCTCACATCATGCTTAAAATCTTCTGCCAGTGTTTTCCCTTTTTATTGTGTCCACTGAAATGTCACTTTAATCTCCAGCAGCCAGTGGTGGTGTGCTGATGGGGGTGGCAGGAGGAGCATGGATATTTGGAGGCTGGAGAGGCTTGGGATGGAGTCCTGGTGGTGGCTCTGCTGTGGGCAGTGCTGGATGCATTCAGTGCCTCATCCTGCTGCACTTCTTGTGCTCTCTAAATTGGTGCCATTTCTCTTCCTCTCCTACTCTTTGCCTGAGTCGTTTGCTCAGGCTGCACCTCAGGAGGTTGGTAGCTGCTCCCTGCCCCAGCTGCACCTACCAGAGGTTCCTGGAGTGCCCATAGGGGCATTGCCTGCTTTGCTGTGTGTCTGTCTCTCAGGAGAGGAGCCACAGAATCATGGAACAGTTTGGGTTGGAAGGGACTTTTAAAGGTCATCCAGTCCAACCCTACCTTCATTTTGTTTAGGAACCTCTAATTTCTGTTGTTACCTGGTCCATCCCATTTCATTGTTTCATTTTAAGAGCTGTCCTAGTCAGCATTTTAACAGAACTCCAGAGCTGGGCCAGCCCAGCATTGGTGTGCAGAAGGTCATGGTGGTGTCTGGGGACCGGGCTGCTGGGGGAGGTCCTGGCAGCACACACGCTGTGGTGACACCAGCTGTGCCAGCAGCCCCAGCCCAGCTGGAGCAGGGTCCTCACAAGGCTCTCTGCTTGTGTTTTCCAGGTGTACAACTCCAACAAGGACAGCCAGAGCGAAGGCAGTGAGTATTTCTTCTCAGGCTGGCCCTGAGAGGTGGCTGAGCGGCGGGAGGGGTCAGCAGGAGCTGCTGGTGACACTGGGCTGTGCTGGAGCTGGGTGCTGGCAGGGCTCAGCCTGGGCACCCCAGGGTGGCCCCAGGGAGAAACGAGGGGCAGAAACCAGGGGCATAAACCTGCTGGTGGGACCTGGGGCTGTGGAGAGCAGCGCAGTGCCAGGCAGTCCCTGCACCCCTCAGGGTGTGTCCCCTCCTGCCCCACACCGTGTCCCTGCCCCAGTGGCACTGCAGGGCTCTGGTGGCACTGGGACCTGCTCCTGAAGCTCAGCAGAGGGATCAGGTGACACCTGGGACCAAGCAGCTCTTCCCTCTGAGCCAGGATGTGCAGGGTGAATGTGTCTTTCCAAAGGGGAATTGGAGCAGAAATACAGGAGTAAGGAGGTCCTGCCCTTTCAAGATTGTCAACAAGAGCCCTTAAAAATAAAAATCTTTTTGTTGTAGTTCAGGCAATCAAAGCACTGGGTCAAGAAAGCATTTGTTTTTCTTCCTAGAGGAGCAGTTGCACCTGGTCCTGCCTCTTATGTCCTGTGTTTTAAAACCCTTAATTGAGCCATTTCCCAGTAGGTTGGATTTGCCATAATTGCAATACTCCAGTCCCAATCCCTTCCCTGCTTCCCTCAGAGCCAGCAGGCAGGGCCAGGCCTGGGTTGGTGTTCAGTGCTTGGTTCATTTTGGTGCTGCCTCAGACACGACATTTTCATCTGGAGCCCAAGCATTTTTCTCTCAGTAATTGGTATAATTTGCAGCTAATGTTCCTCACACCCATTTCAGCCCTTGCACAAAGCAGTCTCTTCCCCGTCTCTGCTCTCTCCTCTGTGGTTTCCCCTTCCCTTTGATGCTGTCTGGCATCAGCTGCACATCCATCTTTTCCTGCTGGTATCCCCTGGCTCTGAGCCTCCCAGGTGAGCCAGCAGAGCCCAGTGCCTCAGCTGGGAAGGGCAGCACGGCCAGTGCCATGGGGCAGGAGCTCTGCTAAACAGCTCCTCTGCTCTCTTCTTCCCAGAGGGCAGAAGGAGTCTGTGGGTGCAGAGCCCAGGGGTGGCTCAGCTGGGTGCTGCCTGGCCATGAGTTGTCAGTGCTCTGTGCTCCCTGCACACAGCCAGCTCTGTACCTGCTGGTTTGGCTCAGGAGATCATTTTGATGCTCTCTTTTAAAAATGAGAATGGTCCTCCTTGTCTGTCCTTCCTGGTTCTGGGAGCAGCTTGGGACCCCTGGCTGAAGGTGCTTCTGAACCCTCTGGGGCTGCCACTGGTGTGGGCAGAGGGCTGACTGCTTCACCTCATGAAATCCCTGCTTCAGAGCTCTGCCTGCCTCCCCAGCCACTCTAAAATTGATTCAGCAGCTGGCTCTCAGCCAGCAGCCACTGAGACAGGATCTTCCTTTAAGGACTTGCAGTGAGTGTGGGTGGAGGGGGTCCAGGTACATCTCCTGGCCCTGGGACCCTCCATGCCTCTGCTTCCTCTCCCTGCACTTCTGGGAGGCTGGCAGTGCCTCCCAGTGCTGTGGTGGCACTTTCAGAGCACTGAAATTCTGCAGTGTTCTGGGTTTTGTGTCCTGCTGTGTGGCCAGATGGCCGTGGGCCTGTGGGTGATTTGTCCTGGTGTGCTGCAGAGGGGCTGAGTGCTGTCACTGAACCACCAGAGCCAGGGGAATTTAGATGCTCCAATTTGCTAACCAGAAGGACTCTGCTCCATGGAAACAAATCCTCCAGGCCATTTGTGCTTATTGCGTGGAACAGCACAAAATTCCTCCTTTCCCTTCCTTCCCACCATTTCACTCTCCATCTTCCACGTCCACTCTTGAGTCCCTTTGGCTGCCCTGTCTACTGTGCCCTTGTCTGGGTGCTCTGGCCCTTCCCAGCAATCACACTCATGGAATCACAACATATTTTGGGTTGGAAGGGCTTTAAAGCTCCTGTCTTCCCCTCCCTGCCATGGCAGGGACACCTCCCACTGTCCCAGTTTGCTCCCAGCCCTGTCCAGCCTGGCCTTGGGCACTGCCAGGGCTCCAGGGGCAGCCACAGCTGCTCTGGGCACCTGTGCCAGGGCCTGCCCACCCTCAGTGTGAAAAACTTCTTCCATTTCTCTAACCTAATCTAACCCTCAATCTTCCTTTCCCAATCTTGGCAGCTCACTGGTAGTTAGAGCCCTGAAAACTCATTTCTGGTAAGACTTGAAAGCTCATTCCTCTGGTCTCTGCTTCATGATCTCCCCCCTCCCCTGTGGTTCTTACTTCCAAAATGTCTTTGAAAGAGTTCAAGCCAGAGATGGTTACATGGCACAGGAACGTGTGGTGGGGAGGCAGAGGAGCTGTTTTGACCTTGCAGTGCCCTGACACACAGCTGGAGCCAGGCAGGCTGACAGAGCTGATTCAGCCCCCTGCCCCCTTCCCTTTACACTGATATGTCACATCAGTGTAAAGGGGAGGAATTAATGGATTAAATAGAAATAATCTGCCGGGCAAAAATAGAAAGGGATGAGAGCAATTCAGTAGCACTTGGAATGTGATGCTGTTGAAGGTCAGATGAGCGTGGGGGTGTGTGGGCAGCAGCTGCTGGCCAGGTGATGTGTGTCACCTGTGCTGATGTAAAATGCTTCTGGGTGGATCCCAGCCTGGGCAGGGCATCTCCTTGGACACTGCTGCTGCTGGAGGAAGAGCCTGTGACACGTGTGGTGGCCTGGAGCTGACCTCATGCTCTGCCCTGAGGAGGGAGAGCCTCAGGGGAGGCTCTTCCCCGTGGCCTCGGCCAGGCAGGGACAGTTCAGATTGGAAATTTCTCCTCTGGAAGGGCTGTCCAGCCTTGGCACATCTGCCCAGGGTAGGGGGTTCCCATTCTTGGAGGGGCTTTACAGCCATGTGGCGGTGGCTCCTGGGGACAGGGGTTGGTGGTGGCCTTGGCCGTGCTGGGGGAATGGTTAGAATTGATGACTTTTGGGGGGCTTTCCAAACCCAGATGATTCCATGGATCTGTCATCTGGGCAGCAGCAGACCCAGACCTGCCTCTGATCTGGACCATTGAATCATTTGGTAAATGACTGAGATAAAGAGCAGATGCCCTGAGAGAGGGGAAATCAAGCTTTTACAATGCTCATTAGAAGTGAAGTTTAAGGATGTATAAAGGCACTTTGGATATTTAATCAGATATTATTTCTGGATATAACTACTGCAAATAAATCCCCGACCTTTCCCAATCCAGAACTTGACAGTGAGTGGAAGAGAATCTGCTTAGGGGGATTATGCCAGGTCACTCCATCCAGAGGCACTGCTGGGTTCCTCCTCCTGCTGCTGCTGCAGGGAGCTGGGATCCAGCCCTGCCTGGCCATGGCGTGGGGGTCCTGCAGGGTTATGGTGTCATGGAATGGGTTGGGATGGACAGGACCTTAAAGATGGTCCAGTTCCAACCCCAGCTGTGGGCAGGGACATCTCCCACTATCCTAGGCTGCTCCAAGCCCTGTCCAACCTGACCTGGGGGGCCCAAACATGCAAGGGGCTAAAGGAAAACTGCTGCTTTGTGGGATGAGTTGGCACCTCCAGTGGGTGGCAGAGAGCCTGAAGCAGTGATCCAAACTGTCAGCCCCACACAGGGATACCCACAAGTCAGGGTCACACAGTGCCAAGGCTGATCAGACCTGCTGAACTGGCTTTGCTGGAGCAAGAGGATTTCCACACTGTGGTTTTGAGCTCCTCAGGTACTCTTGTGTGGCCTGGGAATGGCAGCTGTGCCCTGCTGCTGATGGCACATTGGGTTTGTGCTGCATCCATGCTGGGAGCCCCGAGGGTGCCCAGCAAAGGCCCTGCAGCTTCTGGGTTATCCTCACATCCTATGGCACATGGGGTTTGTGCTGTACCCATGCTGGGAGCCCCGAGGGTGCCCAGAAAAGGCTCTGCAGCTTCTGGGTTATCCCCACTGCTGTGGCACAGGCATCCTGCAGCTCGTGTGCTTGTGTTGGCTCGGCGCTCCGGCCCGTGTGCCCAGAAAAACATAATGGAGCTGTTTTCCTTTGCACTGCTGTGGGTCCCTGTGCCTTTCATCAGACAAAGCCCACCCCCAGCAGAGGACTGGAAGCCAGGGATTAGGAAGGGGCTGTGAGCTGGCAGCTGCCCATGGATGGGGCAGGGAGCAGGGGAGTGCAGAGGAGGGATGCTGCACGTGCCTTGCAGAGGGCACTGCCAGCCTGGGCTCTGCTCCCTGCCTGCCCTGCCCTGAGCTGTCACATCACAGCATTCCCTGGGCTCTGGAGCCCGGGGGAGCTTTGCCCACCCTTCCCTGAGGGGTTCCTGCCCTGTGGAAGGTTTTCCAAACCTTTCTGTAGGGAGGAACTAGTTTTCCATAACAAATGGCTGGCTGTGGGCAGTGTTTTCCAGGCAGTGGTGGAAAGCTCTCTGTGGGATGAATTCTTCCAGCAGGTGTTGGGGTCCCTGTATTAGCAACTCCTTGAACCTAGAAGTGAGAACCTGCATTGGCACAGGTGAATTGAGTTGTACATCCCATAAACTCTCGTGTTTCAGCTCTCACTCTTGGACAGAGGCAAGACACCTCATGTGCCATTTTCAGGGATTTGTTGTGTCCAAAATTACAATTTCATTTCTTTCCAAGCAACCTACTGTCAACTCTCCAGACAAATTTGGGTTATCTCACCTTGATCCTAAATTAGTTTGTGTCCATCTGCACTGGTAGAGCCCAGGGCAGGCCTGGCTCAGAGGGATGTGGAGGCTGGAATGATGATCAGTGCCTGTGTTTGCCTGGGTTACACTGGTACAAAGTGCTGTTCTTGTGTTTTTCTGCCCTCATTTATCTCCTCTGGGCAGCAGTGCGTTGCTGGGATGGCAGGGATTCAGGAGGAGCCTGCCCTGCCAGCTGCTTACCCTGCTCTCTGCCCTTCCCCTGCAGCTGCCCAGCTGGACAGCATCGGCTTCAGCATCATCAAGAAGTGCATCCACGCCGTGGAAACAAGAGGTAGGGCAGCCTCGGGCTGGGCTTGCTGTGGGGCAGCTGTTGGCAGGATGCTTTGGCTCTCCTGCCCTTTTCATGGACAGAATGATTCATGAGCCCTTGCACCCACATCAGATGAACCCAGAACGTGCTGGGGCCAATGCTGGGAAGGGTTTGCCCCACGGCTGGGCCAGCAGGGACTCACAGACACAGGGCAGAGATAGCAATAACACCGTGGCTGTGCAGAGGGGGGTGTTCACTTCAGCATCCTTCCTGCAGGAATGCTGCCAAGCACGTCCTCTCGTGTGGGATTCTGTCCCCAAAGCCTCTTGTGAGTCTCCTCGTATCCAGGTGGGATTGTCCCCGTCCTGCAGGGGGAGGTCAGATGCAAAAGGCTCAGACCTCAGCCTGAAAAACTTGACACAGTAAAATTTCCCAGACTGTCCTGGTTAAGTGCAGATGCTGCATGGGGCTGCCATGGCTGTGGGAAGGAGGAAAAGATCCTCAGATCCTTATTCCTGAGCTAACTGGGGATAACACTTCTAATGAAAGGATACCTGAAAACCTTGATACCAACCCCAAATTTCACCATCTTTTGTGGCTTTGTATTTGATAGGTGAGAAGGTTTCATTGGCCTTGCTGTTTGAGAAGCCAAGGAAGTGAAAGAAATCGTAGCAGCTCTTGTGACCTTGTGCTAACAAGTTCCTTGTTCTTCCTAGGGATCAATGAGCAGGGGCTCTACCGCATCGTCGGGGTGAACTCCAGAGTTCAGAAGCTGCTGAGTATATTGATGGGTGAGTGTCTGGAATTTTGGCAAAGGCAAGTAGCCTGTGCTGCTTTGAAGCACAGCAGGAGCAAGTGGCCAAGCAGGAGCAGAGGCTCTTGTGGGGGTCCCTAATGGTGTGACTGTGCCCTTAGGACCTGGTCGAGACTGGGAGGTCCTGGGCATCCTTGGGCAGGTCTGAAGGCAGGACTCGTGCAGGACTGGCTTCACCAGGTCCTGCTGCAGTCACTGCTGTCCTGCTCACACATGCTGTGAGTTCTGGCAGCCTTCCCAAATTCAAACCAAAATCTTCAAAGAAATAGCTGAAAGCTTTAGCTTTTCATCTCCTACCTGCCCCCTTGTTCCCAGCACCCTTTGAAATTATTTTCTCCTGGATGTTGCATGCTGCCCCTGGCCATTCTTGCTTTCCCCATGGACTTTCTTGTGCCTGTTTATCTCAGTCTTGCCCAGTTTTCCAGCATGTGTTTCCCTCATGACTGAGGCATTGGATCCTGCAGTTCTGGATGCTCCAAGCTGCTGGGTCTTGGCAGAGCAGAGGTTTGCTCTGGCTGTGGGGACAGAACCATTTCAGGCCTGACCTCACAGGCAGCATTTCAGTCCACAGCTGCAGCCCTGGACCAGTCTGTCCATCTGTCCAGACATGCCTGAGACACAACAGTGGAAGAGAGAACAGAGCTGGGCTGGAGCAGGGCAGCTGCCCTTGGTCAGTCCTGTGTGATGCTGCCCAGACTTGGCAAAATCACAGATTAAATGGCTGTAGGAATAGGGAAACAAATGCTTACAGATTTGCTAGTGCCCTATTGAATGTGCTTGTTCCTCCTTGGGGAAAATGCCTGGCATTTCTGGTCATCTTCTTCCCCTTCACTTACTATCTTCCCTTTTCTCCATGGTTTCCTTTTCCTTGTCCTCACAAAACTCCAGTGCTCCTTTCTCTGTATATTTCTTCTTGCAGAAGGTTTTCATCTGTTGTGTTTCAACATCTTTTCCTTCTCCTTTTCCAATTCCTCTTTCTTTCCCCACCACTAGGGTGTTCAGTGAGCAAAGCCCGTGGTGGCTGTTCCAGCTGTCAGCGTGAACCTGTGGAAAATAGATAATCCAGGTGATTTCAGTAGAAGGGCAGGGCCCAAATCCGGGTGCAGGGAACCTCTTTGCTGTGGCATTTGGAAAGTTCACTGCAGTCACGAGAGCTGGTGATGGTGCTGTTATTAGAGAGGTTTGGCACAGGCTGGGGCTCTGAAGGTGCCCTGCAGTCCCAGGGCTGTCCTGTGGCACACACGGTGGGCACGGGGACAGCACCGGTCCAAGAGCACTGCTGATAGAAACAGGCTGGCCTGGTGCCCCGGGGCAGGTCCTGGCAGGTCCTGGCAGGTCCTCGGGTGATGCTCATCACACATCCCACAGGTGGCAGGGCCATGGACCCCGCTCTGTCACAGAGCTGTCAGTGCTGGTGTCAGTCCCCAGGCTGTGACAGATGGCAGAACTGGCCTGGGTGAAGAGCTCTGCAGAGCTGTGAGGGATTCAGTTTTGGACCCCGTCCAGCATCCATTATCTCCTCAGCCACTGAAGCCACTCAGCTGTCGCCCTGGTGGCTCATAAGGAGGTGATAAATCGCTGCTGCTTTTCCTTTGTCCTGGTGTGTCCTCCTCGGTTGGTGGTGCAGGAAGCCCTGCTGGAGGCGAGTCGGAGCTGGCAGTGGGACCCCTCTTGGGAATCCCCCATGGTGTCAGTCTTGGGGTGCTTTGCAAACCCGTGACTCCACAGTTTCTCTGAACTGTGGGGGATTAAATCCCCATTGGCCCCGGTGTTTGGGCTGTGTGTGCAGTCAGTGTCACACAGAAACGTGTCCCTTGTCAAACCCCATCTGTTCTCGCTGCCCTCGGGCTCCTCGTGAATGGAGGAGCCAAACTGTGCTTCCACTGTCAGCTTCCCCTTATATTTAGAAATGAATGTGGGCAGCGTTACTGCTTCACATGCAGTTGAAATGGCAAAAAGATCGAGTTTCCCTGAGCTGCTGTCAGTGGCTGTGCCCTGGGCAGGGTGTCCTGCAGGAGGTTTCTGTGGTGGCCCCAGGGCACTGCCCCTGTGGGCAGCAGCCCCAGCCCTGGGTTGGGTTTCAGGGCAGATCTTGTCAGGGTCTGCACTGGGGTGAAGCAGTGAGGGGGTGTTCCCAGGGCTGCTGGGGAGATGATCTGCTCCTCAGCATTCACTGGTACCATGTGCCACCAAAATGAGGGCAAAACCCAACAAATAACCAAACCTTCATCAGTGGGGGCTCCCATGGGAGGGTTTATTGTGGGGCCCCAGCAGGTCTGAACTCTGCAGAAGATGAGTTACAGCATCCGATCTGCTCTTGCTTCTTTGCCACGTGGGCCATAAGGGCTGGGAGTGGGGCTCCTTCCAGCCCCTCGCTGCTGGGCTGTGTCATCCCTGGGCCAGTTTTGGAAGTCTCTCCATGATAATCACACCGGGGTGATGAGGTGCTTCCCCAGGTTGTTCCCCTCACCGTGGAGAATTTTAGAATTCTGTGAGAGACGTCAGATCAGGGATTGGCAGCAGAAAGCAGCTGCAGGGCTCATGCTGGCTGTGGCTGTGGGTGCTTTTCCAGCCCCTGGCCCCAGCTCCTGTGGAAGGGTGTCCTTGTGGGAGGCAGGGCTGGCATGGCCCCACTGCCTGGGGAGACAGATGCTGCAGCTGCAGCCCAGGCACAACTTCTTGCAGACTCATGAATTTGAAGGTCAAGGGGAGCTGATTAACTGCTCTGAGCCTTTTCATGGGACTGACTGTGGAATTTCACCTCCTGTTCCATGATCCTGCCTAGAAGCTGTTGGGTGAGCCTTTGCAAAGACATGCTCTGAAGCTGTTTGTTCTATTTTGCTTAAAAAGCTTTTTGTAAAAAAAAAAAAAAAAAAAAAGGAACTTCTGTTTTTTTTGGTTTTTTTCATTTTTTTTACTGTGCCAAACTTATTTGACTCCTTATCTTAGAATTCTCTCCTTGTAAAGGCAGTGCTGTAGGAAGTTTCCTGGGCATTGAGTCAGGAGGATGGAGGTCATTTGTGTGATTGCTGAGACACACGTGATCTTTGTGTGAATATGCATTTCTTATGTATTTACTTTTCCAAGCGCCTCTTGATGTTTCTTTAAATTAAAATAAACCCTTTGCCCCGAAGGGAAAGCTGAGCTCTATTCACAGCATTCTTTTAAGTAGGTTAAAAATTGCCCAATGCTTACATGGGGCTTTAAAATTCAAAAGTGCATTATTTGTGTCTGTGAAGAGGCAAAAAACCCCTGAGCTGATCCCGTGGGAGCAGATGGTGTTGGCAGCTGTGGCTGTGTCACCCTGGGCCTTGGTTTGGTGCTCCCGGCCTAGGGATGGAGGATTCCCTTTTCTTTCTCTCATCCCATGCCAGTGAGTTTGGCCTGTCCTACAGCCCTGCAGATGTGTCCTGAACTGGGAATAGCAAATAAAATGGGGTGTGATGGTCTCCCCACACAGATGGGCTGGCACGAGCTGGAATTGTCTTCAGTTTCCTTCAGTGACTGCTTTTTTGTCTAATTCCATAGATCCCAAGACAGCCACAGAGACAGACACAGAGATCTGTGCAGAGTGGGAGATCAAGACCATTACCAGTGCACTGAAAACGTACCTGAGGTAAGGAGAAAAGGCTTGCCTGGCTTCAGGAGGGGTTTGGTGCTGGCCTGGGATTTTACTGCCTGTTATTGCAGACCCTTAAGAACAGCACTTTTATAGAAACAGAGCAGAAACTGCTGTTGGGTAATTTATCCTGGCTTTCCAGTATGTTTGAGTAGGATCTGGGGAGCACACTCAGCTCTGACAGATGCACGTATTATACAGACATGATTTTAGTAGCTCATTCTTGCATCCCCTGCCTTGATTTAAGCTTTTCCCTGAGCTTTTCCCAGTGGACTTCTGCCTTCTGAGCATGTGGCAGAAGGGCAGGGGCTGAAGAGCTTTACCAGACCTGGTGCTGAGCTTTATTGTAGCTCTGATTTCTGGGTGTCAGGCAAACCAGTATCATCCTGGGGATCTTCCCAACAGGACTGGGTGTTGGCAGGCAGCAGCATCTCATTATCCACAGCGTGCTCCTACCTGTTGTGACCACAGCTCCTTGCTCTCAGTGACTCTTGTGTGCTCGGCTGTGTTTGAGAGAGTGAGGGAGCACAAGAGAGAGCCTAAATCCAATTAGGGTGATAAGTGTAATTAGCCTGGTGGATCTCAGCCTAGAAAATCACTGAATTTTGCATGATTGGCAACCTTTGCTCCGGAGTCTGAGCTGTTGGCTAAGCAAAGAGGAATGTGGGCAGCACCAGTGTGTCCCTCTGAAGGGATGCAGCAGTGGGAGGGGACAGTGGGAATGGGGATTGGGAAAGTTTTACAACTAGGCTTGTTTATATTTTTAATTTATTTTCAAACTTACTTGTAAATCATGAGCTCAGTAATGCAATGGAGCTGTGTTACTGAAGGAATGCTAAAATTAAAGATTAATTTAGTGGTAAATAAATCAAAGGTCCTTGCATAGATCTTACTCCTTCTGATGGGGGGAATTAATTAGAGTTGATGTTGCTTAATTCTGCCCTTTTCAAAACGGAGCTGAGTTTACTGTAGGGGCAAAGCTTTCTTACTGTGGATTGTGTTCCTCAGATGTGTTTTGTGCCTGTTTCCTTTTTATCTTCCAGAATGCTCCCGGGGCCCCTCATGATGTACCAGTTTCAAAGGAGCTTCATCAAAGCAGCGAGTGAGTTTGTTGGAGTTTATGGCCCCGCTCCCACAGAGGACTGCAGTGGCTGTGATCCCCCTGCCCTGCTGCCTCCCCAGCACGCCCCTTCCCCTGGAGCTGTGTCCTGGCCAGCAGGGCAGGGCTGCAGCTGGGGCAGGTGGTGTTGGAGGTGACCAGAGGAGGAGGGACCTGGCTGGGACCATGGGCGGCTGGGGAGCTGCACCACTGTTTGAGGGGCTCACGGCTGCTTCATGTGTCTGGGCCGTGTTTCCTTCACTGCCCAGGGGAAGGGCTTTGCTGGGAGCAGGGGATTTTCTGGTGCAGCCTGTGGATATGGGAGTGGGATGTCAGGAGGGCCCCGTGGCCCATGGCCGTGGCAGTGCTGGGCTCCTCCAGCAGCTCCCACTTAGCACCAGGGACCCAAGCAGCCTGTGGGGCACCAGGTGCTCCAGCCTGGCCTGCCCTGGGCACGCTGAGCATGGGGATGTGCCCGTATTGCCACCCCCGGAATCGCTCTGGTGGCAGCCAGCCCTGTCTTGCTCACTGTGCTGTTCACGTGGATCTGCTCTCAGCTCACTGCAGTATCTGCAGAGCCTGGCTGTGGGATGGAGCAGCTCCCTGGGATGTCTGTCAGGGACAGTGTTAGGCCTCTTCCCATAACAACCCCCTAATGTGGAGATAAATCATCTTCTCTTCCCCATGCAGAGCTAGAGAATCAGGAGTCCAGGGTGTCGGAGATCCACAGCCTCGTTCATCGGCTCCCGGAGAAAAACAGGCAGATGCTGCACTTGCTCATGAACCATTTGGCAAAGTACGTTTATGACTGATGTGTTTTTCTCTCCTTTTTCCATTTCCTCTGAAAGTTAATAGTGGTGGAAAAGTTTCCTTGTGTGTGTGTGGTGTTGAGTCATTTCTGGTTGGCAGCTGGAAACGGCGTGTGAGCGAAGCGAGGCCGAGAGACCGAGTGGGGAGGGAGGGGGGATGAGGGAGGGATGAGGGATGAGGGACAGGAGCTTCCCAGCTTCCCAGCCAGCCCCAGCCCTCAGCAGCACCAGGAACCCACTCACTCCTGGGAACCTTGTGTTGCTTTTCATGCCCTGGAATGGGTTTAGCTACCCAGGCTGTCCAGGAGGCAGAGTGCAGGTGAAGCTCCTCACATTGTTTCAGAGCAAACCTGCCACTGAAGGACTAAAATTAATTTCTTTGCGCAACAAATGACTGCTCTGGGGCGTATTTTCTGCCTTTATGCACCCTGATGAATCAATATTTTTGTGTTACCTTGAAACTTTGCAAGGGCAAAGGAACGGGGTAATTTTTTTTCTTTTGGTCGTAGAGCTGACCTGTAATTTCCCATCTTCTTCCTGCTCCTGCAGGTTCCCATGGAAACCTTTGATTAGCGTTTTAGACGTGAAAGCATCATCAGGTGTTTGTGGCAGCCTCAAGGCTGCAGGGTTGGACCTGCCCTTGCTGTTTGCAGCAGCGCTGCAGGAGCAGCAGGGCTGAGGCAGGACTGGGAAACCTGGGGATGACTCAGTCGGGATAACTGCTTAGGAGGAGATCTGGAGAGTCCAAGTTATCTGTTTAAAAGAAAAAATAACAAATGGTACTTGAAACAGGCTTAAACACAGCTCCAGATGCTTTCTTGTCTCCTGGGCTTGTGTCTGCTCCTTGGGGTCCGTGGCAAGGCTGTTAGAAACTGAATTGCTGGTTTAGGTGTTGGTTTCAAACCTTCTGCATTTACAGCCTGAAGCCAAGGCCCCGCGGTTCCAGGTGCACCCATCAGCCAGATGGGAGTGCCCAGAGAAGCTCTGGCTGCCCCTGGATCCCTGGAAGTGTCTGAGGCCAGCTTGGACAGGGCTTGGAGTACCCTGGGATAGTGGGAGGTGTCCCTGTCCATGGCAAGGAGTGGAACTGGGTGAGATTTAAGGTCCCTTCCCACACAGAGTATTCTGGGATTCTGTGATTTGCTGTGTGCAGGGAATCTGTAACTACTTCAGTGTTTTCCATCTAAAGGAAAAACCTGGTGATGGGGTAGAGATGTGGAGTCAGGTTTACAGTGGGGTTTGTGCTGCTTTAGTGGGGAAGGAATTCAAACAAAACAAACAGTGTGTGTGGTGGTGAGTGCTATTTTGGGAAGAGAAACAGCTCATAGTGTTATTTAATAGGAAAAAAATTATCTCAGAGAAGGGCAGGAAACTGAGGAGTGAGAGCCTGCAGAGCTCTCCAGCCTTGGTGCCATTCCTGGGGGATCCTGGCTGCAGAGGCACAGCCAGCCCCAGGGATGGGCTCACAGCATCCCCTGGGGCTGGTCCTGCAGCCCCTGCCCTGATCCAGGAGCAGTGTCCTGATCCAGGAGCAGTGTCCTGATCCAGGATAATTGCCCTGATCCAGGAGCAGTGTCCTGATCCAGGAGCAGTGTCCTGATCCAGGAGCAGTGCCCTGATCCAGGATAATTGCCCTGATCCAGGAGCAGTGCCCTGATCCAGGAGCATCGCCCTGATCCAGGAGCATCGCCCTGATCCAGGAATGCCCATGGGGCAGCCAGGGCCAGGCCTTGTGTCCATTACTCTCTTAAAGAGCTGCTGGAGGCTGCAGTGCCGTTGAGCCAGATTAAAGACAAGAATGGAGAGAAACCTTCACATCTGCAGCAGATGTTTGGAGGGAGGGGCCTGGCTGCCCCAGGGATGCTCCAGACGGGTGGGACTGGCTGGGTCTGCTCTGCTGAGAGCAGGGCAGCCAACAGGGCACCCACAGCCAACAGGGGCAAAGCCAAGGGCCTCTGGCTGCCCCTGCCAAGCTGCTTGCAGGGGTTTGTCTCATCTGGTTCTGTCTGGGCTTTTTATTTTAAGTAACGTATGAATAATCAAGATTTGCATGTTTATCAGATGAGCTAAAAAAATATTTCTCACAGTCTTGCTGTGGAGAGTTCTGACACTGAAACCAGAACTTCGGCTGAGTCGGTCAAGTAAAGAAAGATTCTGTCTTGGGTGGTTTCTGACTTCTTTTTTTGGGGTGTACGTGCTCTGCTGCACTGACGAGGGATGTGGAGCTCATCATGTGAGGAAGCTGCAGTTTTTATTAACGGTTATTAACAGGTTTTTTTAATTATTAACTGTTTTTATAAAACTGTCAAGAAAGCTGAAATCTTCAAAAATAGCAATTCTTAACCCCAGTATCAGGCAGGATAAGTGCCTTGGAGGTGGTTCAACAATGCCCTTCCCCTTGTGGTGGGTCCCATGGCAGCTGGGGGCCACAGATCTGGGGTGCAGTGAGAGGGGCCACAGAGGAGGGAGAGGACAAATCTCAGGAGCAGGCACAGACAGGGCAGAGGCTGAGGAGCATTTTGATAGAAAACTATTTTGATTTCTGCCTCTTACTGCATCTCCAAGCCCATTTGTGCTGCTTTCTGCCTCATGTCCACATACCCCGGCAGTTGTTCACTGTGGCCCAGAGAGCAGGAGCTGTCCCATTCCTGCTCCTTTTAGCCTTCCAGCTTGGACCAGTCTGGGATTCTGTGATTAAACCAATTTGTTTTAATGCCAAATAAGTCGAAATGAGACAAGGTGACTGTGGTGCTGCCAGGCTGGTGGTTGCTGTGCCAGGACTGCTGCTGGAGTGGAGCTGGTTGCAGAAAATTGCCATTTTTGTTGGTGGAGCTGCAATTTCATCCCTGTCTCCTTCTTCTTTTGTAATGTACTTTCTCACCCAGGAGTCAATGCTGTGGAGGTGCAGAGCAAGGGGATTTCACTCTGATTATATTTCAAGCATTTAGGGGAATTATTTTTCATGCATGGCCATAATTTGACACCCGAGCTTTGCTTTGTTCTTGTGGCAGCCAGTGCAGGTTCTCCAGCACAGATGGTGCCAGGCTCATACCCCTTCTGTGGATTGGCATTGCTGCCACTGCCCCACACAGCCCCTGATCCACGCACCCACTGCTCTTGTGCCAGGGTCAGGCCCACGGAGGAGGCTGCAGCCGAGCTGAGCCAGCGTGTATTTAGCAGAATTAATTATCTCTAATCACTCCCAGCTGTGGCCTGGCCAACACCGGCTGGTTCCCTTTGGTTTTGCTGTGGCAGTGTTCTCTAGTTTACGTGTTTAACCGAGATGACAGTGATTGTTATCTCCTGCACAGATCGTTTGCTGTTTATCAGGGCGCTGCTCTCCACAGGCTCTGCAGGGCAGCTGCTGATGGGGATCCAGCAAAACCCTGGCCGGGGCATGGGCCGGACACAGAGCCTGGCGTGTTCCGGAGGGCTCGCTGCTCGACCAGAGCTTGCTGGCAAAGGAGGAGAAGAAGAAATTCCTCCAGGTCTTCTGCCTAAAAATACAGCCAGGGCTCATTCTGACAGCGTGGGGCGGCTCCGTGCCGTGCCCGGGCTGCGCTGCCCCACAGAGCCCCACGGGAGCTGCTCCCGAGCTCTCCACGGAGCCTCTGTGCCCAGCAGCTCCAGGGCACCCCACGGGGCACCTGTGCAGGGCCAGGGGTGGCAGCTCCCCAAGGAACGTGCTTTTCCATGGTTGTTTTGCCGGTTTCCCCCGAAGGTGCAGCCGGCGAGGAGGCTGACGCCTCTTGGCACAGCAGGTCTGATTTCATCCCCGTGGCAGCTGTTTATGCTGCTGTCTGGTAACTATTCATTTGCTTGATTTATGTATTGCTTCCAGTAAGTCATTCTTGTCCAGGACATTCTGGAAATTTCCACTAGCCACTGAGGCCTCTGAGATGCCCCACTCTCGTGTGCTGCTCACCTGATTTGGCTGCCAGAAGCAAACAGGGAGCTGTCTCTGAGCTGGTGTGGCTGGGCAAGGCAGTGATCCTCCTTGCTGCCTTTGGAGCAGTGCCTTCCTTTGGGAATGCCATTTTTATGGCCAGTGCCTGTTTCTGCTCCTTTTAGGTCACAGCAGTGCTGGATCCAGGCAAAGGCCTGGAGTTCAAGTGACCCAAAGGATGCTTGTATGGGTAGTAAAAGGGAGGTGAATGGAAGGAGACTCTCTGTAGGCACATGCTGCCCTGCAGGACAGGGAGAATCCTGCCTGGGGCTTGGCTGTCCTGGGTCAGGTTCATGCTATGCTCTTTTACCCATTTTCCTTTTTCCCTCCTTGGAATGAGGTGGACTTTAAGGTCCTTTCCAACCCAACCCATTCTGTTGTTCCATGATTCTGTGATTTGTGCTGTGGAGCTGGCGGTACCAGAGCCTGGTGGGGATCAGCAGCACCTTTGGTTTCCCCTTTGCTCTGCTCTCCCTCAGGTGTTTTGGTGGAGGAGCCAGTGATGCTTCCGCAGAGGCGAGACAGCCCTGCAGGACTCCGTGCCTGCCCTTGCCAGCTCTGCCTCCCTCTCACTCCTCTGCTTTTGTTTTTAATATGAGATTCTGCAGAATTACAAACCACCACAAAAAGCCCTGTAGGTGTTCGCTGGGTTTTTTTGGGCTTGGCTTCCTGTAATGTGTAAATTAGCAAAAGGTTTTGTTCTTCTTCTGCAAATGAACTTTTAACCCCCTCTGTCTGGATTGTCCCTGGAGCAGCTGTGTGGGTGCTGGTAGCTTTTCCTTCCATGCTTCTCTAAAACTCTTTATATTTCATGCAGGCTCTTCAGTTTTTAGCTGGAGGGGAACGTGCCCCAGAGCCTGCAGTACCTTGTTAGGTTCTTTTGCACCCACATCCTGCACAAGACTTGGGTCTGGAGATAGGATAATGGGGTCTTGAACTAAAGCTGGCATCACCAACCTGGCGTGATGATTCAGCAGCTCTTAACAAAGCACCTGCTGGGTTTGCTGTGGAGTTTCTGTGGTTGAACATCTCTGCCGAGCT